TTATGTATTTAAAATATGTATAAAAATAAATTCTTAATAAATAAAACTAACAATCTTTTGCAAAAAAAAAAAAAAAATATATATATATATATATATAAACATTGATCATTCTGTCACAGGGTTGGCAAATGTGCAGTCCATTGATGGTCAGTCCAAAATCCATCTGTTCTCAATGGACCAGTCAATTTGCCAACCTTGTTCTGTCACCACAGCTCTATGAGCAATAAAAACTTTTTCCTTAAAATTTTCATAATCGTTTACAGAGTTGGCCAACTTGTGTAATTCACTAGTTTTTAAAATAATTTTCCAATAAGCAATAATGATAAAGATTGGCTTAATTTAATTCTTAATCAACTAGCATTATATATATATATATGTATACAAACCTTAACTTTAGGCAATAAAAGATCAAAAGTTTCTGCTTTAATTTTATAATAGGTTTTGGGATTAATGGTGAAGCTGATGAAGAATAGTCATGGTTGAGAACAGTTTCAGAATTATCAGAAACTACACAATTCTCATTTTCATTGTTATCATTACTACAACCAGAATTGTTTTTAAGATCAAGTTGGTGTACTAGTTTTAAATAGGAGTGGCAATTAATCATTTTATTAAAAAAAGAAGCTATTTTTTAAAGATCAAAAGTTAATTACTAAATATTCTTTAAACCTTCTAAGTCTTCATAGAATTTCTTCACAACCATTACTTTATCTCAGGGTTGGCAAATGTATGGTCCATTGATTCCATTAGTGTAACATTTCAGCCATATTTAATAACTTATTAATGGCAATAGACCAGTCAGTTTGCCAACCCTGCTCTATCTGTTCTAAAATTTAATACCTGTAAAGATCCAGAGATCTTGTTCAGGACAATACAATGTAAGTTTGTCCTATTTATTTGCAAAAAAAAAAATATAGCAGTAATAATCAGTCATAAGTACATTGGTAATAATAATAAATAAAATACAAACCTTTTGCAAAGACTTCTTTAAGGTTGATTTTGACTCTTTCAAAGCTTGGTCTTGACTTTTATGTATACATTTGGTATTAATAATCAATAAGGGCATTAAAATAAAATAAAACTTTATATACAAATTATAGATAAATATACCTGTCTTCAACTTGACATTACAACTTCATCTATTGTTAACTTCCATTCCATTAAATCAATATCTTCCTCTTTATTAGAAGTAAATTTAACAATCGGAAGTAAATTATTTATATCCATTACATCTTGTTCATCTTGATAATGAAATTTTTTGGCTTTTTTCCATGCAGACAAAGCCATGTGTGTGGATTGTTTCACAGCTTTGAAATTTGTCATGTTTGAAGAAGTGTCTTGCCCCAATTCACCACTTCCACAACTTGTTCCAGACATTTGTTAGCTTATTTCAGTAATGCAGGTAGACATGCAACAGGTGATTAAAAAAAAATTTACACTCTTTAACATAATTGTTATTTGGCAAATTTATAAATTTAGCAATACATTTATTTATAAAACTAGAGCAACAATGAGTGGCAATAACCACCATTCTTATGATAAACACTTACCCAGAAATCTTGACAGTATGTTCTTCTCTGCTTCATTTTCTTTTTTTAATGATGACAGCAGATATTGTTGATTTTTTTTTCTAAAAAAAATGTGTTAAAAAAAGAAAAAAAACATGTAATCAATATTATTATATATTAGTCAGGATTATTACCAAATATGGAATTTCCAAATACTGTAAGGATAGACAATCTAGAAATCTTTTAGAAAAAAACAAAACAAAAATGATTGGCTAATTTTATGCAGATCTTTTCTTTGAAAAAAAAATAAATTAAAAATAATGCTTTTTTATGAAGAGAATGTGGAAAAGGCTTTATTAAATGGTCATGTAACCTCCAAAATTTATGTATTACATTTATTTTTAACTGCTTTATGAATCTATCAAAAAGTAATCAATTAGCTTCAAATTATAATCATAAAATTACCACAAAAACACAATAACTTTTTTCATAATACTGATGAATGTTTGAGTTATCAACCTGTCATTCATTCTCATCCATCAGGAATCTTGTTATTAAAATTAATAAAATTAATAAATAGTATCATGAAATATATTATAATTATAAATTAATTGTAAGCTTTTTGGTATAAATAAAGTCTATGCCAAATTTTGAATATATATATATATACAGTTCACTCTCTCTATAACAAACCCTCTGTCCCTATATGTAATTTCTCTGCTTTTGGTCATTATAGAGAGAGTAGACTGTATATTACTTCTTTACCTGCTTATCATTAATTCACTATTAATATGGAACTATAAAAATATGAATAAATTATTGAGAATTTGTTACATCATTTAATTTTGTAAAAGCACTTTGAATAAATA